GAGTTGACCAGTTGGTAATGATTTTTCTTGTTCTTTTTGCCCCTCTGCGTGGAGGGGCCCTCGTCCTGTTCATCACGCTTGGCCTTGCCTTTGTCGTGGCCTCCGTTGAAGCGTGGCGGGAACGGCGCTCTCCGGATGCGCCGGCCAAAGGCCCATGGTCCCGGGCCATCCAGGCTAGGTCTCCGGTCGTCCGGTCGGCGACCGCGCCTGGGACGCGTTTCACCATTCCTCGCAACGGTCCGGCCAGGGTCCATGTCGCCTGCCATTGCTGTCGCTCGATGGGCGTCGTCACCGTGCTGGGACCGACACCGGTTGGTGATGACGCTGCGAGCGTCTTGGTTCGACCTGAGGCGCTCGCGTATCGGCGATCGGTGCGGAGCGAGCGATAGGTCAGGGTGGGGCCGGATGTGGCCTCCTGTGCCGTGTTCGGTGTCTGTAGCGGTGAGCGAGTTGAGCGGTTCATCTGGCGCGTCCCCACTTCCCTGGTGGGGAGAGAGGCCGCGAGTCGGTGTCGTGATGCAAAGCTTTCCGCCAGTTGAACGGCGGCGGTTTCCACCAGTGCCTGGAGGTTTCAGCGAATCACCTGTTCCTGGGGGTTGTTCGGCTCGGGAAGGCCACGTAGAAGCATTGCCACGGCGGCGATGTTCTGGCTGGCCCGAGCGAACCGTGGGGGATCGTTCCCCCGGTCCCCGATGTTACGCTGGACCTGGCGAGCATGACCCTGGTCGACGCTTGCTGGGTTTTGCGCATGGGGCGCGGCGTCATGCGCCGAGCGCGCCAGCGCATGTGGTGGCTGGTCCTGCCGTCGTTGTCGTAGCTCCCCGCCGTGCTTTTGTGAGAGCGTGAGGGCTCCCGCAAGAGGGTTTGAAGGGGTGTGAGTCTGTGAGGACTCCGCCACCACCAGCGGCTATACCGAAGCGTCCGCCATAGCGCACTCCCAGGACAAAAGGTGGCTAGGTGCCATGTCGCCAATGCTGGAGCCGTCGCTCTCGACATCGTCATCCATGAGGTCGTGAGAGGGGGCGGCGCCAGCATCCTTCGGAGCCCTCGAGCGCACGCGTCTACGGGGGACGCGAGGCCGTAGGGGGACCGGTCGTACGGTGGTCGTGGTGTAGACAATGCAGTCCCTCCGGATAATTAGCGGGAGATAGTAAATAGCGAGTAAATAACAGCATGTACATTACTCACAGCGGGGTTTGAGCAGAGAGTTTGCTCGGATTGAAGCACATGCACCTCATCATTGAAGTCGTCGTGTGTCCCGAAGCCGATGGAGGGCGCCCCTCCGACGGGTGCCAGAACAACTGCCTCCTCGCGGAGGTGTAGTACACCGAGCCGATCGGCGACGAAGTCTAGGCTTCCGAAGAGGAAGGCCTAGGACGGTTCAGAGATGGGTGGAACCCACATCCCAACAGGTGGGAGTGCGGGAAACTCCAGCGAGCCAAAGCGAGTCGTATCGCTTGAGCCCGCCATGGCGAAGGTGGCAGAAAAGTGGGCCATCCGATGACCAAAAGTGTGAACGTACAGCGTCTTCCCCACGGACGGCGTCAACTGTCGGTGCAGAAAGTGACCAACACGTAAATATTTGTAGTTTTGCTATACGTTGTGATCGGATGTGGCCTAGCACTCAATGACACAAGGTTTATAATGGTTCAGGCAACGTGACCTACGCCCAGGTGCTCGAAGTTTGCAGTGGGGTTACAAACGGAAGGGAGAAAGATGGGGGGTACAAGAGGTCCGGTCGGGCTCGGGTCTGAAGGACCGAGAGTGATGGGAGCTCCGCTATGAGCTAAGTATTCGAGCGTGCGCTATGTGTAGCTTTAGAGTTTCTAAAGCTACAGAGGATGAATCGATGTAAGTGAACTGAGGCCCCTTTTGCTTGGGAGAGAGTGCACCCCCTTTTATAGATGAAGGGGATGGCTTTACAAGAGAGAGACAGAGAGAGTGCACGTATCCTCAGTCTTGTTGCCCACGCCGTTGGGTACAAGATGATTGTAGGCGCCCACAACATTGTTATTGTCAGATGCATGTGGAAGGTCGCGTCGTCTTCTTCTGCTATGGTAGACTTTGGTGCCTGCCATACTGTTGATGCCTAGAGGCATGTATGGGATTTTACCGTGCTCATCTGGTATGGCAGTTGTTGCCGGCGCCCACAACACTATAGGTCAAATGTCGGCGCCTACAACAATGTTCTGACATGTCGGGAAGCTTGCAGGCCAATCCTCTGACATGTCCTATCAGTACTGTCCTGTAGGTGTACAGGGTACGGTCCTCGGTATTGCTATTGACTTTGAGCATCCTGCCTTACTTGCTCCGCCCGTTTTCTAGTCCCTACCGAGCGGGCGTCCCTGTCGGTTGGTCCCAGTCGGCTCTGATTGCGCTAGTCAGAGAGGAGTTGTATGCAGGGTTGCGCATCCCCGGTCGGAGAAGTGGGTCGGAGTCGGACGTGGTGTTTGGCCAGACCTTCCATTTGGAGAGGCCATCCGGAGGCGGGCCGGAGTCAGAATCGAGGCCTTCCGGTGGGAAAGGCGGGCCGAAGTCAGAAGCGACGCCTTCCAGTTGGAGAGGCGGGCTGGAGTCGGAAGCGAGGCCTTCAGGTCAGAGATCGGATCATACTTCTGTCCTGTTTTGTTAGGTTTTTTGGACTGGCCCATGAGTTGTGCGTTGCTCGCAATGTCGTCTGCTGGGCCGAGCTTTTGCTAGGAAGCCGGTCCATGAGGGACCCCGGGTTTATGAACCCGACAATACTATTTATGTATAGTTATGAGGTTTCATCAGGAGTACGGCCCCACTTCAAAATTAAGAGCAATATTTTTATGTAGGTGTTTGCTGAGCGATAAGTGCATACAATGGCTCTGTTTCCTTAAGCTTATCAGCTAGAATCAGCCCTACTTTTTAGCCATGGAACAGTATTTTTCAATCATAATAAATCAGTCCTACAAATCAGCCGCAGCAGCAATAAGTCCTACCGAACAGGGCCAATGATAGCATGATTGACAAGTACACAAAACTGCTAATCTCGATACATGTATATATATTTTAAGGCACGTTGAATATATTCTAATTTTGTTCTTAGGTTTTGTTCCATGTAACATAAAAAAGATGTTGACTTTATAATGAGTATTGTTTTAAAATAATATTTTGTGTAGACTCGCATTCTCTTAATAATTAGTGCAATGTATCAGGACGGTTGCAACAAGTGAGTACATGTGGACACCCAGCACAACCTTGATTGTGCTTCCCCTACTATTACACTTGATAAACCCATCAACAAAATGAGACAAGAAGCCAATGCTTTAGGGAGTGATATATAAATATGGCACCAGAAGAGAGGGAGGCTAGACGTGAACAACAGTCTCTATGATATAATGGACCGACTAGAGTTGCCGTTCGAAGGGAAGACCGTGGTGTTCAGCGGAGATTCTTCCCGTTGTTTGGAGAGGGTCAAGGGCTCAGGTGGTCGGTGCCTCGCTGCGTATGTCGTACCTTTGGGATTCCATGCGACATCTAAAACTGGTGCGCAACATGAGGGCAAAGAACGACCCGTGGTTTGTAGAATACTTGTTGCGTGTCGGTGGAGGATCTGAGGAGGTGACTGTTGATGATGAAATCCGTCTTTCTCATGATATATGGATACTGCACACCGAGGAAGATAGTGATCTTGATATTCTAATTGATTGTATATTCCCTAACCTCAATGCGAATATGTCAAGCAAAGATTATATCACCTCTCAAGCGATCTTATCTATGCGAAACGACTGGGTTGATATGATTAATATGAAGATGATAGGTTGTTTCCATGGGGATGAGATGGTGTACCATAACTTTGACTATGCGGTGGATGATCCACACAACTACTACCCTGAAGAATTTCTTAACACTTTGACACCCAATGGTCTACCTCCACATATGTTGAAGCTGAAGATTGGTTGTCCAGTCATATTGCTTAGGAACATTAACCCTGCGAACCGACTTTGTAATGGGACCAGGCTTATCATACGGGGGTTCCAAAAGAATACCATAGATGCATAAATTGTATTGGGACAACACGCTGGAAAGCAGATTTTTCTGCCTCGCATACCCTTATACCCGTCGGACGACGAGATGTTCCATTTCCAATTTAAGCGAAAGCAGTTCCCTATTCGGCTCACAGCTTTGCAATGGCCGTTAACAAAGCATAGGGCAGACTATCCCCAACGTCGAGGTATACTTGTCGAAACTAGTGTTCTAGTACAGCCAATTATATGTAGCGCTATCAAGAGCCACGGCAAGATCAAACATTAGGGTCATGTGCCGTGCCGCCTGCTGAGAAGGACGTGAGCAAGGAGAAAGGAAAAGAAAAGGAGAAGGGGAAGAAGAAAACCGACAAAGGAGATATTCACGAAGAATATCGTATATAAAAAGGTTCTAACTCCATAACAAAGGTAATGTTTCACGCGTCGATATATATTTTTTTTCAAGATAGTCAATAGTACTTTAGCTTTAATAATTAAGAAATAATTTATATGCAGGATACTTCCAGCTACAGCTTCAACCATATGCATACTTTAGATGCAAGAAGTCAGAAGCCTCATCTTGGACTTGAAAATCTTAATTGTACAATATATTTTATGAATTTATGTATACATTATATAAGATAAGAAATAGTGAGTAGTCTGTCATGTTTACACCTGGCTTTTTATTTTTTATATGCCGGTTGAAAGAACTATGATTTCACATCAAAACTTTAGAGTTATATTTTAATTGTCTATTATTCATGAAGAGTTATGGAATAATGATGTTTCAAATATTACGATTGCAGTATCTTCTTAAAGTAATAGTATAATACGCACTTATACGTATATTGTCGTGGTATTATGTGTTCCCGTTGCAATGCACGGGTATTTACCTGGTCGAGATAAAGAATGCAAATTTACAACGTTCCAAGTGTATATGCAAATGGGTTCCCGTGCCAACGACCTAGATCGTGATCCGGCTCAAACAATCGATTCGATCTCATCGTGTTAACGATCAAGATCAAGAGCAGCTCCAACTATGGCAAATCTGCAATGCACTGAATCAAATTGAACTAATGGCGGTGAATTGCGAAGTCGCTTGGTGTGGAAGAGCTCCTCCATGTCCTCGAGGCTCCGCCCCCTGGTCTCCGGCAGGCAGGCGTAGACGAACACGAAAGACGCGGCGGCGATGGCGGCGTAGAGGTAGAACGCGCCGGCCATGGTGATGCCCTGGTAGAGCGAGATGAAGGTCATGGTGACGCCGCCGCTCATGATCCGGTTCATGGCGGTGCCGAGCCCGGCGCCCTGCCCGCGCAGCCGGAGCGGCAGGATCTCGGAGCTGTACACCCACGCCAGCGGGCCGAGCCCCACGGAGAAGGCCACCACGAACGCCACGACGGCCGCCACGCTCACGGCGGCGACCGCAGCGTCGTCCTTGGCCCCCGCGAACGCCGCGATCAGGGAGCCCAGGACGAGCAGCGCCGCCGTCATGCCGCCCGTGCTGACCAGCAGGAGCGGGCGCCGCCCGACGCGGTCCGCCAGCACCATGGCGACGAGGATGGAGCCGGCCTTGGCGACGCCGAACAGGACGTTGAGGCTCAGGAGCAAGGTGTTGGACGTGACGCCGGCCATGGCGAGCACGCGCGGGCCGTACAGCACCACCGAGTCGATGCCCGACGCCTGCTGGAAGAACTGCAGCGTCAGCACGATGGCCAGCACGCGCCGGACGCCGGCCTTCGTCGCCACCTCCTTCCACGCGCCGCCGCCGCCGTCGCGGTTGCCGCTGCTGTTCATCACGACGTCCTGGATCTCGAGCAGCCGCTGCTCAGCCTCGGCGGGCGTGTCCGACGTCTTGTCGAGCACTGCCTTCGCCTCGGCGACACGGCCCTTCATGGCCAGCCACCGCGGCGACTCTGGCATGGTGAGCACCCCGGCCGCCAGGAACACGGTGGGCACCACGCCCGCCGCGAACATCACCCGCCACGACAGGTGCACGGGCAGCCCCGAGAAGGCGAGGTTCGACACGTAGCTCAGCATCACCCCGGTGTTGATAAAAATCTTCAAAAAGAAGCAACATTTCCGAAAAATTAATACAATTGCCGCAAAATCTGATGAATTGCAAAAAAAAAAAAAAAAAACCCAGCAACATGGCACACGGCAGAGCAGCTTGCTGACCTCAGGAAGTGAGGTGAGGAGCCCTCGGGATGACGCCGGCGCGATCTCGGCGGCGTAGACGGGCGCGATGACAAGCGCGTACCCGACGCCGACGCCGGCGACGAAGCGGCCGACCATGAGCAAGGCGTACCCGCCGGCGAGCGCCATGGCGAGCGGGCCGACGAGGAAGAAGGCGTTGGCGAGCACGATGGTGAGGCGACGGCCGAGCCGGTCGGAGGTCCAGCCGGCCAGCAGTGCGCCGACGAGCGAGTAGATGCTGATGACCCCCGAGAGCACCTCGATCTGCGTGTCGCTCACCCCGAGGTCCTCCGCCATGAAGATCTGCGCGCCGCTCGTCACCGCGACGTCTGCCGCCGTGCATGGCACGCGGTTCAGCGTGTATATATGCAGAGTTGCCAAGCTAGTAGAGAGGGAGAACATAATACGTACTGTAGCCCGTGAGCACGGAGGTCATGGAGGCGAGCACGGCGCAGAAGAAGGGGTACTTGTTGCGCTTCGCCGGCGGTGGTGGCGTGGCGGCGGCGTCGGGCTTGGCGAGCAGCGGCGCCACGGCGTCCGCCCGGTGCGCCATGGCTGGTTCAAGCTGCAGAGTGTCCCGGGCCGGTGACGCGGGCATGATCTTGCGCTGTTGGATGCTCGTGCCCCCACGTGGATCCGGCGTATGAAAATTAATCTAACTTATACTCTAATCTATTTCAACGCGAATGGAGAGTGCATCTAAACAAACACTAAATGATCCGAACATATTAAAGAGAAGGACTTATTTTGATATCTGGATAAACTGTTACTTATCTAAAGTTAAGTATTCTCTCGCATCTCAAAATAGATCAATTGATCTCAAAACAAATCGATTCCTAGGATCACTCTTAGTAAACCATCTCAAGTTTGACCAGCTTGAAAAGGATAATAATGTTTATAAAACCAAATAAGTGTATTATAAAATATATTTTATGGTGTACCTGCTAATATAATTTGGTGTTATAAATATTGGTGCTCCTTTTTATGAAATTTGTCAAATTTAAAATAATTTGATTTAGGACATCTGTATAAATAGATTTAATTAAAACTTGAATCACTATATTGTGTCTGTTTGAAGAGTGAGTGCTATATGGTTTCTTTTCGAAACGAGTCATGGTAAAGTGCCCTTTTCATATCTCTACAGTTGATGCAGCCCTGCCCATCTGTTTGAAGAGTGAGTGCTACTTGGATTGGATCTCCTCAAGATACCTTTATGCTGTAGGATTGCACATGCAGATCAATCATACTGCCACTGAGGCACTGACGCTGATGTCTCACGCCGTGTCTGACTGACATTTCAAGCACACATGCATGTGTGCTGTGTTTTATTCGCCGCAGCCCACAACCACAAGGAAATATACCTCTTGTATCTTCGTACCAGCAAGAAAAAAAAAGAAGAAAAAGACAAGTTGTCACCACGTTCGTTTGGACTTGATTGGCTTATAAACCGTACTTTTTCAGCCAACGAACAATATTTTTTTCTCACATCAAATCAGTCAACAGTACTTTCAGTTATGGCTTATCAGCCAAACAAACCTAAACAAACAGGACGTGTATACATAACGAACACGTTCACAAAATGGGGGATATGACCCCCGGTACCCATAAGACAAGACATGGGTCACACTATCAGAGGTGGCCCAACCCACAAGATCAAGACGTGCACGATACTGATCGACGTGCACCGTAAGATATTGTATGTACCAAATATGATACTTTCCTTGTAACCCTATCCCTCTAGAGTATATAAGGAGAGGTAGGGGTCCCCTAATCGACATCTACATACATCTCATATACAATGCAATACACCAAAGACACAGGACGTAGGGTATTATGCCGATCAGACGACCCGAACCTGTCTAAATCGTTGTCTCTGTGCCTTGTGTCACCATCCGGTTCCTGATTACGCGCACCTCCACCGATCAATCTACCTTCGTGGGATACCTCTCGGAGGACTGCTGAGCATCTTTTGTCGACAGTTGGCGTCCACCATGGGGCTCGTGCGCGCTGATCCCTGACGAACCAGATGGCGTAACTCAAGATCAACATCCTTCAACAACCACGGCGCACATCTTCGTACGCGGATTGACACCGCCAAGCTCTGACTACGTTCGTCCTACTCCAACACGAGATCAACTTTGTTCCAGCCATCAAGCGAGCCGCCAAGCGAGCTGCCCGCATCGTCGACCAGATAACGCCATACGCCGCCGACCAGACATTCTGTCTAAAGCTAAGTCATACTTTAATATTCTTCTAAATATTCTCAAATCTTCGTATATTGCCATAATATTTCTCCGAGCTGTTTTCTCCATGTTTGGTCTCCAAACGATTTTCTTTCATGTATACATCTTAAAGATAACATGCAAACTACGCCCAAGGCAAATCCCCGAACAGTCACGTTGATGCTCGGACGCCTTCAGAGATGATTCCGTCTCTGGCTCCTCCCTACACGTGCACGAGCGTCTGCCCTCTGCGTTATGGGTGGTTAGCAGCGGCTCCTTAGCAACGTTTTGTTCTTCCTACACGCACACGGGCTTCGCGCTCCGCGTTATGGTTAACAGGCTAGCTAGGGCTAGAGACTCAGCTACACACTAACTGGTCGGGCGGTTTATATTAAATATAAATACATCTTCAGAATAACATTAAGTGTTCACACCGACTAATCGCCGAGCTGCATACTCTATTTCATTATTATTGCTGATTCTTCCCTAGAGTTCATATATTTTTACATCACGTACTACCCGTTTTATATATTTGTATTGCAGGATCATCGTTCAGGTGATCGAACCACCTGGTGCTCGGACTTCTCCGCCGATCAACTGGTCGAACTGCTAGGTTCATGGACTTCGTCGCCGACCAGTTGATCAGACTGTTCGCCGGTCGCTTCTACTCAATGCTCACTTTGCCGCCGACCGCTTGGTTAGGGCGCTTTCGTGTATGATTCTCTAGTAACCAACTGGTCGGATTATCCGCCGCTCCATCGTCCGCTACGCTGGGGGCTCGCCAGCTACGCTGGGGACTTCTCGGTGCTCGGATTCTACATGCACGAGTCGCCAGCTACGTCGGGGACTCCTCGGTGCTTGGACATCGCCAGCTACACCGGGGACTTCTTGGTGCTCGGACATCACTAGCTACGTCAGGGACTCCTCGGTGCTCGGACATCGCCAGCTACGCTGGGGACTCCTCAGTGTTCGGATTCTTCGTGCAAGCATAGCCAGCTAAACTGAGGACTCCCTTGGTGGTCGGATCTTGCTACGTCTCATCGGTGTGCTATCAAGCTGCTCTATGCTGTTCGGATCAGGGTGCTGATCTTGGGCAGCACGTCTGGGGTCTTGATACGCGCATGTCAGATGACGTCGGCAAGCTTTCGGACTTCTTTTCTTTGACCCTGCTACAAGATTCATTCTTCATCTTTCAGCAGGCTCGGGGACTAAGTGGCTACACTTCACCTGGCTGTGAATGTAGTGCTTACTTCTTGATTTACCCTCCTTATTGACGGAGTCTAAGTGGCTACACTTCTCCTAAGTGAAAGAATTTTTTAATTTTTATCTTGAGCCCCTTACATCCTTCCGACAAGCCTTACTTGGCTAAGTCCGAGATCGATTAACCAGTTTAACTGGTCGGCTACGACTTTCACCGCCCAGGTCATCAGTTTAACTGGTCGGCTATGACTTCTACTGCTCGGATCACCAGTTAAACTGATCGGCTTCACGTTAAATTGCTCGGACTTGTTCAAGACAGCGTTGCTCAAAGGATACAAGGCGTTCGGGGACTAGATGTGGGAGATATAACCCCCGGTACCCATAAGACAAGACATGGGTCGCACCATCAGAGGTGACCCAGCCTACAAGATCAAGGCGTGCACGGCACTGGTCGACGTGCACCGCAAGATATTGTATAGTACCAAATATGATACTTTCTTTGTAACCCTACCCCTCTAGAGTATATAAGGAGAGGCAGAGGTCCCCTAGTCGACATCTACATACATCTCATATACAATGCAATACACCAAAGACACAGGACTTAGGGTATTACGTCGATCATTAAATGGCCCGAACCTGTCTAAATCGCTGTCTCTGCGCCTTGTGTCACCATCCGGTTCCTGATTACGCGCACCTCCACCGATCAATCTACCTTCGTGGGATACCCCTCGGATGATTGCCATGTATCTTTTGTCGACACAGAAGGGCGATGATGGAACTGGAAGCTGTACCTTGACGTGTTTAGAGTCAAATTAGAAGAGGTATAAGTATACACGTCGTGGACATGGTTTTATAGCAGCCAGAAAGCAACTGGACAAATTGCGTGACTTAAGTTTATTTGGACAAGCGATGTGTTAGAGGTATATATAAGAGCATACATCAGTGTATGACTAACTGTGGATACCCATGTGGAAATACATCATCTCCGGTGACAGGACGGTTGATAGCAATGGCAAACATTAACTGAATGATATGATGGAATGCAGATTCTAGAAATGTATAGGAAAAAATATAGAAATAAAATGCCAATGCATTTTTTCTACAAAGGTACTCGTCCGTTTCAAATTATAAGTCATTCCAATAATCTTTAAGAGTCAAATCATCTAAAGTTTGATCAAATTTATATAATAAGATAATAATATTTATGATTCAAACTAAGTATCATTAAACTATTCATTAATTATATTTTTATAGTATACTTATTTGATATCATAAATTTTTGTGATCTTCCCAATAATTTTTATCAAACTTAAGATGTTTTGACTTTTCAGGATTACTGAAATGACTTATAATTTGAAAGGAAGGGAGTACACGCTTAATTAAATACACAACTCGTATCTATAAATATAAATACACACACGTGTTAGCACTTCGATCCATGAGACTAGACTGCAGATCCTAGGACTGAGGAAAACCACTATATGTGCCTTACTGTCGATCGACAAGGGTCTATCCTTGGAAGAGTTATTAGACACAGGTATAATGTCCGTGCTAATGTCACGATTTTATCTTGGGGATATACATGAAAACAACCAAACAATGATTTTTTTTCATAGTTCAACTTTTACACAATTGTATTTGAACATGTATACAATCCGGGAAACACTTTTCATAAGAAGGCATAATAAAGTTATTTATCGCATTAACCATCTAAGTTACATTCTGTCTAATTCCTTAAACATGACTTGGACATTGAAGTGCGCTCGCTCAACTTTGGCATTTCAGGCATCAAGTTAATGGCAAAGTCAGTGTTGACCTCTGAGGAAATTGAAGCGTGCCCGACAACCCTGAGGAAATTGAAGTGTTGACCTCCATTGCGCCTGAAAATAATAAATTTTAGGTGAATATGCACAGTGAATAAAATGGTTTACCAACATGCCCAAAAATATATAAAAAAAATCAAGCACCTGCCCAGCAATATATATTTATATGAGGACTGATAAAATGGTTTGAGTATACCCACCGTTAATCACCAGTTTAGGATGTCTTTATAAACAATATTCTTGGTGCTCTTCCCTGTAGGATCCAATTCCTCTTTTGGTTTAGCCAAAATTCTTGTTGTTGATCTTGA